TTTTTTTTCTGTTTGAACCTGATTTTTGATGTTTTTGTTCTAGGGGCATTGCTAGCTGTAATAGCAGAAGGTTTTTTTTCAATCCTACTTGATTTTTTCAACATGTGCTGCCGTAATTTGGGCTTTCTTCTGCAACTGCGACTTGTACTTGCTTGGTTTAATCAGTATTCGAAGTTACCTAGTTTTCTTTTTTTTTCAATAAAATTAGTTGAGAAGTAACATGAAGCTTACTGTAGTGCTCAGTTTTCTTTTTTATACCTGTAAAGGTCTCATATGGAGAGCATGTCTGAGTGTGAGTGAAATGAAAAAAAAAGTTATTATTGCTTTCTCTCGAATATTGTATTTATGCAACCTTACTAGGGAAATTTCTGCAAAAAAGTTTTTTTTAAATTTATGTTTATCGACCACAGGTCGTTTTTTTTTCTTCTGAAAAATAGATAATTTTTAAAATTTTCACACCGTAATTGTCACTGGTAAACAAAGAGAAAATTGGTTGAAGAAATCAAAAATTAATTCATTATCAAATTGGCAAATTGTGTTTACAAAAACAAAAAATCGAGCATATTTTTAAAAAATCTTGTGAAGCATTTTCCAACTTCTTTGGTTTACATCTTACGTTTAAATCATTTTCTACGGATTTTTATGGTCGTTCAGTGTGGAAATAGTCAAAATAATATGGACTACGGAATATCGTTGAACAGAACACCGGCAAATGAACTGTTATTTCAACTTCAGAATAAATTGAGTTTTGAGGTGGCTTACGCAGGTCCGTTTATTTGAAAACAAGAAAACAAATAAGACTTAATATTTATGAAATTTCTCTATCGCTTATAAAAAGTTGCTGTCAGTGGGATAATATCAGTAATTAGTTTAATAGACAGTAGCGCAAAAAAAATTTTTTAGTTGATATGGCAATATATTGCAATAGGAAGATTTACGCTGTACCGTTACTTTTTTTTTGTTTTTATTCTTTTTTTTTCTGACTGCCTATGACAGATGCAGAACGTCTAAGGATGTACTTCAGTAACTGGTCTGCAGAAGAGAAGAGATTCTTTTTACATTTAGGGGAAACATGGTTTAAGTGACATTTTACAGATCCTGATCTACAGAAGAGAAGAAAAAGGTGATTGTGAATACGTTTAATCCATTAGTGAGCTGTCATTAAAAAAGTCAAACGAATTATCG